CCCGCCCAATCTTGCGGGGGAATGCCATGCTCATGAGTCCAACCGGCAGTCAACAGGGGGTCAATAATGGTGACCCTTCGGATGGGAGGCCCTTGCGAGTGGATTTGCATGGCAAGAAAATCCGAACCCAAAATGCCCAAATGAAACCGTATCTCATCATCACCAAAAGCAAGGTCTTGTTGGTGAAGCAACCTGAGTCTGTCAGTAGTGGAGATGAATTGGTGCCTAAGGAACCACAAATGAAATGTGTCTCTCACAACCGGAATGGAGCAGCTGACAAGTTGGAGCATGTCAAATTGAACCAACTGATCAATTGGGAATGCTCCATGAGGGCAAACTTCATGGGCAGGAAGAAGGTTACATTCCCCAATGTCAAACGCCGAAGGCCTTCTCCATCTGCTAGGCTGGGTTTGGTTGGTCTCATCAGGTTCAGGACCCTGGTTACCCGGCAATTGCGTGGGAGGCATTTTAGGGAGTGGCCCCCATTCCCTTGGGACAGCATCTCCAGTGTCAGCATTGGGTGGAGTCGATTCACTTGAATGGGCTGGTTCCCCTTCACAGGGGATGGAATCGGTCCATCTGTCGGCCAACTCAGGCAGGGGTGCTTCAGGCTTTTTCGGTTCCGCAACATCTCCAAAACCATGTCCCCAAACCCAGGGTCGGACTGTGATCTGAGCATTCCTCAGGGCCTGGACATACTGGGACCGGAGCTTGTCATGAAAGTTCTCTGCATCATCAGGTGTGGCAGGAAGCATATGGTTCATGGCGGAATGTCTCAGGAAACCAATGGCGAGGGCCCCACACAAGGAAGAGGACAAGAAAAGCCTTTTCTGTTGGTTAATGGAAACCTGTAGAAAACCAAGAGCGCTCCCCAATGTTTGCAGGACCGATGGGAACCCATCATTGTCATGAGTGACTTCATCCCAAGAGAAAACATGTAAAACATCACCAACAGGGTTCATGAAAACCGGGACCCAATGCGAATCTACAAGAAAAACCGACAAAATTGGCAGTTGTCTCTGACGAATCTCCGGATGAGAAGACGCCCATTGATGGACAGAAATGCCGGAAGTCTTTAACCATCCTGCAGTGAGCAACGGATCCAAAACGACGGGCTGCCTCATGGGTGGTTTCAAATTGCGTGCTTGAAATTCAATCGTTTCAGTGCGAATCTTCCCCAAATGAAAACGAATTTCATCATCAGCCCAAATGAGTCCTTGGTGTTCAAGCACTACCAATCTATCAGCCGTGGACAGGAATTGATGTCGCAGTGACCACAGGTGTTTGGTGTCCAACACGCAAGGCAGGGAAAGCTTCAAAAACTGGTCAGCATGAAGGCCCAAAAGCGGGGCCGCTGAAATCCATGATTGATTACAAACTTCCTCAGGCATGGGCACAACGCATTCACCAATGTCGAAAACCGATGGCCTACTGGGAAGACCACTTGCATCAGCTGGCAACTCATGAGGTTGCTGTGTCCACGGTGCAGTGGGAGAGACAATAGTCTCAGGCACTTTGGCAGTGTCAAAAGCACTGTCGGGAGGCATTCTAGGGAGTGGCCCCCATTCCCCTTGTTGGCAAGTTGGTGAACTCTCGTTCGCAGCTTCCTCACAACAGGCATTCGGTTCATGATGCTGCTTACCATCATTGGGTTCCACATGGTGCCCAGTTCTGGGATGTGCTTCCATAGAAACATCATCGTCACACTCATCAATTGGACAAACCTGGATGACCTGTCCAGCCTGAAGCCTCAAATAGGAATCAACAGCAATGCCATCACACCTAGCAGACATGGGGCGGTTGACTGGTCCATTCAGCTTGGCTTGGGCAATCAAAAAATCCCCAAAGTTCGGTGCAGCATCTTCGGGCAAGGCAAACTTGACAGGAGCTTCACCAGAATCAGGGAAATGAATCATGCAAACATCACCCTGGGGGTACACCGGGAAATCTTGGGGAAGAGGTTGTTCAAACCAAGGAGTAGGTTCGTCAAAAACTTCAGGAGCTGGAGGCACTTGCTGCTCAGGGGACTTCGGCTGTTTCATCAAATGATCCAAAACTGTTGCAATGGTAACTTCCCTATCGGACAAAGTTGGCCAACGAAAAGGATAAACCAATTCAGGAAGCGAGAGGCCTTTGACTTGCTTCCAAACTTCAACCAATGTGAGCAACTGAGGGTCCTCAATGGGCTCGAAGTCATCATACCAAATCTGTCGTCCCCTCATGATCAACCATGATCGATATGCTTGCAGTTGCATGATAGGAGTGAAGGGGCAGTGACCAAACCTATACATGTTCAGGTGCCGGTCAATGTGGGAAAAAATCCACAGGGCTTGCAAGGGCGAGGCAAGCTGTCCCACACCACAGAGGGACAGGCGAGGCTCACTACCTAGATCAGGTATGGGGTCAAGTGCATTGAGCATCATGGCCTCGTTCGGATGAACATGTCGAATTCTCCCATCAGTGGACCGGACCAAGAGCCCAAACAGGCCTTTCTGTTCCAATCTCCAACTAGCCAGTCCAGCTGACCTGCATCCACAAGGGCAAGGGTGCAACTGAGAACCCCAGCTGTGCAAAGCGCACGGGGCTTTTCCCTGCATGTTAAGGAGATACCTCTGATGAGCATCATGAGAGACCCCAAAACCATCCAATTCAACGTCAGAAAGGGACAACGCATTCTCATCTTCCTCAGACCAGGGAAAAATTTTGGGGATAATCTTACAAACCTTGTCCAAGTCATTGAAAGCTGGCATCTCCTCAATGTCAATAGGTCCTACCAATGGGGAAGACAAAATCCACCAGGCACGGTCCCGGCGAGTTGGCCAGGCATCCTGCAAGGAAAGGTTCACCTGACGGCAATGGAAACCAGTACATTGTTGGAACTTGGAAAGCTCCTTTCGCACAAATTCGTCACTGGCCGCTGGCTGTACACATTCCAATACAAGGATTTGAATTTGCAACATGTGTGCTGCTCTAAGGACCATCGGCAAGCACGCAGACCTGGGGTCTTTGCCACCTTTCTCATCCCCCAATTTCGAAAATGGCTGGCAGTTAAATCCAGCAGACATCGTTTTGGAGTATCTGGCATGCTTCCAAAGCTCAAAAAGGGTAGAGTCAGACCCTATATCTCCCTGGATACATTCACCACTGGAAGTTTTGGCACAGAGGTTGACCATTCTATGGTTAATATCCACAGAGACCCCAGGCGTGAACCCCACAGCAAGGGCCCCTTGTGCTGAGGCGCCAATACCAGAGCAGGCATCAATGGTGCTTCTAAGGGAATGCCATGTCGGGACTTCATGGTCTAGAATCTTAGTCTGATCCGAGGCTCGAACACGAGGATGGGGATACTGTTTCACAAACTGAAGCCTGAACAGTGAATGAGCAACATACCCCAGCTCAAGGAGACCCTGAAACAGAAACCTCTGACCAGATGTAGTGCACTCCATGACGTGAGCTTCATGATTTGCATCGAAGAAAATGGGTCTGGCCACCACGTCGAAGACATCGCCTGCTTCCATGGCGCCAAAGTTGGGGACGGAAACCATCGTGAACAAACCTAGGCAAACCTGACCGTCCCAAGATCAGCCAGGTCCGCCGTACCCCTGGAAGGCTTGGGAATTCACGGCTCCCCAAACCACCAACCAGATATAAATAGAGGTTTATAGTAGGTGGGAAAATCATCAAGCTAAATGTTTCTAGAGTCCCATCGGCCCCATCCACTGGTTAATCATCGTTTTCCCCATTGGAAAAAAAAAATGGCCTGCAAAAAACTCATGATTTGTCAACTATGTTCCAGCCTATGGGGGATAAAGAAACCACTAACTCCACTAATTTACCCAATCATGTGACCTAGATTGACATTTCCACCTGCCTAAGTCACAAAGTTATTAACTGACCCAAATCATTTGATCACCTACAATGTGGGACCCGCAAGATAGAGATAGCTATGTTGGTTTATAATTCCAATAAGTATGGATAGTTATAACCATAGCTAGTGGGGTTTATAACCGAAGCAAAAAAAAAAGGGGGGCCCACATTGTACCAACCAATTCCAGTACCAAACCAAATTTAAACCACTTGTGGTGGGACCTGGAGTTGGTGTCAACAAGTGGGTTACCCGCCCTGTTACATCTAGTTCTAACGGGTATAGCCGGTACAATAATCTATATATATATATTCCAACTAATTACATGGAAACTAACTCCATGGCCCATGGAAATATCTGGGTAAAATATAAGCAATATAATAGTTCCCTAACCCTGAACTAAGATGAAATATAAGGCTATATACGGAATTATTGGTATAACTTCCCTTACAGTACTAACTAACCATCATTCCAGTGAGGTCGCAGTCAGGTCGTGAAAAAAATCATCCAGAAATATCTCCAATCAAATCCTCCAACCTATTGGTCGGTTAAAACAACTTAATATGATATCCCAGGATTCTCCCCATTATATCCCATTAAATATAAAGACATAAAACGTTTGGTGATCCCGGATGTTTGTTTTCTGCTTGGTGGCTTCAAATCTTCAACCCCTCTGAAAAATATGCTTGTCAGTTGGGATGATGACATTCCCAACATATGGAAAAATAAAAATGATCCAAACCAGCAACCAGGAACATATCTTTAATAGTTAAAATCCGATAATCCCCCCTATAACCCATCAACAATTGCCATTGGCACGATATCTCCAGTTACAGGGATTTGACAAGGTCATGCCTAAGTCACTCCTTTCGCTTTCCCCGCTTGTGAACGCAACATCAAGAAGTCATGCCTAAGTCATGCCTTTTGGTCTTCCCCCATTGTGAATGCAAGCGTCAAAATAGCCCTTTCCAAATTGGAACCTTTCACTTTCGCTTCTTTTTTTCCTCCCTGCCCTTGCGATTCAATATTGTACTGGGTTTATAACCCAAGAAAAATAATCCATTCATGTTCCAAACCACCAAGCAGTTTTCTTTTACTCCCCCCAGATGTGGGAATTTCTCCAACGCCAGGCTTCTCCCCGTATGGCATACGCACCATTGGCGCTGCCATTGCTACGACGCGGAAAACCAGTGACCAAAAGGTCACCTGGAAGAGGCATCCAGAAAGGCCAGGGTTCGTTTTTCATGAGACATGTAACTTCCTGTATAATTTACTGTAGTGGGATTTATATAATTTGATAGGAATTCATGGGATTTCATGGGATTTAATAGGAGTTGATGGCATTAAATAGGATTTGATGGAATTTCATGGGATATCCACTTAAATGGTGCAGTTGAGGAGGAAAACATGGGTTTAACCATGGATTTAGAAGACACCAGTTGGGGTAAAATGTTATACTGGTTGGTGGTATACCTACCCCTCTGAAAAATATGAGTTCGTCAATGGGGTTGGGATGACATCCCATATATTATGGAAAATAAAAGCCATGTTTGAAACCACCAAGCAGTATATATCCACTTATAACTGGAACTGCACTTCCAAGCATACTTCTAGGATCATTCCAGGGATCGTCATCCCGGATCGTAACTGGTGAATAAGCCTTGGTGAGTGGATCGTCCTCGATTCGTGGGTTCTCCTATTTACATTTTTGTTTACAAGCGCCTTAAAGGGCCACTGAGCAGTTTCGAGTTCCTAGCCCTGGGACGATCCTAGTCATGAGATATGCTGAGGGAAAAATCGATTGGTTTAGGGCACAAATTTAACCGGACCCCCCTATATCCTAGGATCCATGGTGCTGGTATATATGCTAGTTGCTAACATTTGGGGTATATTGATGAGATCCATGTTACCATATATAGCATACATGGATTCTATGGGCTATGGTTTATGATACGCAAATAACATCTTATAACATATTATAATGGGATTCTATGATAATTCTATGGGCTATATTGAATGGGAAAATCCATGGTCTCCAGAGAAGATCAACCAATCCATTGAGCTCTCTATAGCTGTGACACGCCACCAGGCCGCTAATCCACCAAAGGAAGGATGTGGCCAGGTGGTAAACCATGAAAGCCCAGGTGCCAATGGGGACATATGGGGACCCACAGTGGGGATATGAAGTTAGTGGGAAATAGACTGAAATATACTGGGATTTCTACTTGGTGCTTCATCCCACTTGGTGGCTCATCCCACTTAATAAGTGGGTTATAACCCCAGTTATAAATGGGATAAGTAGGGTTAATCCACTTATAATTGGGGTTATAACTCACTTACTAAGTGGGATGAGCCACCAAGCAGTAAGTAAGTGGCTTAGTTCACCCCAATTAGAAGTGAACATCGCCTCTGCCAAACGCACATGGATATTCAGGATTATAACCGTTATAACCTACTTACGATTCGTGGGATGAACCACCAAGTATAATCAACATAATTCAATAATATACAATGTGGGGCCCCGCAAGTTCGTAATTTTTGTTGGTTTATAACCCCATCTAACTATGCATAAAAAAACTACCAGAAACCCAACAGCTATTGTAGTTATGTTCACCAACTTAGCTACCAAACGGGGGCCCCACATTGTATACTTGCTCAGCTTTGCGTCCACACCTCTCTCCACAGCTGACAACCCATACTGGGGTTTTGCAAGCCAGGGGCGTTTCAGTAATATGACATATCATGTTTGGATTTGTCTAAAAAAGGAGGAAACCACCTATTTGAGATATTTCATCAGATATTTCATGGGATTTTGGGATACATCACCAGCAATATGATTTATTTGGGTGTGTCCGAAAATGATGGATAGCCATAAAACGGAACATTTCTACTTGCAAACCCATGTTAAGGCCCATTTGTTAATGAACATGAACTTCTCCAAAACAGATTCCCAGCCTTGCGTGAAAGGTAGTCGTAGCCAGTGAACCACACCCGAGCAACAGGCTGAATCTGCCCGAGCCGGGCCGGCTGACACTGGTGGAAAGTGACAGTACAAGTATGATGGTGAGGATAGAAAAGGACCCATTGACAATCTTTAAAAAAACATGGACCATGGAAAAACACAAAAAAACATGGGATATAACCCCTTTAACTATTAAAATATCTATCAACTTATATCTGGACCTGGACCTGCACTTCCAAGTAGGGCCCCCAGTTGTGGCTGTTTGTGGGTAAACTTACTTAACTGTATGGTGGTTTTTATCGATGTTATACAGACGTATCATATCATTTTGGGTCTCTGCATAGTAGGGTAACACGGGCCATGGGTCAAAATATTGCTTTTCCAACTCAGATTCTATAATTACTGTGCATGGCCCTCAGAGGGTGTCGGAGGCCAGTATAAAGTCTCTAAGTTACATAAACTGCTTGGTGGTTGAGCCTACCCATGCGAAAAATATGAGTTAATCAGTTGGGATGATGACATTCCCAACTGAATGGAAAAATTAAAATTCATGTTCCAAACCACCAACCAGTAAAATTATCGGAGTGGATATGACTGCATACACATGTCTTTGTCCAACAGGATTCTGACAGCAATCTGGGTCAAAATAGGATTGGTTTCCCCACGCTTGGATAAATTTTCAGAAATGTCAGTCTATACCAAATGTGGCTTAACCTAAAATATTATTTAAAATGTCATCATAGATTTCAAGACTGAACTAGTCTAATGGGAGTACCCCATTTTAAGAAACCCCCATGATCCATGGCGCCTTCGAAGGCGCCCGTTGCATTGCCCATGGCGAAAAATACGATTTTTTGGGACCCGGCAGCGGCACACTTTGACTGTTTTGGCGTTCATCCTTGATTGGTATTGGAAGTTGTTGTTTCAAGTTGACTAGAGTTTCCATGAGGTTTCACGTGATTTTAAAATCATCTTTGATGTTTCCACTGACCAAGTATGCGTAGTCTTTTGCCGCGTCGAAGAACTGTTCACTCGATTTTGGGTATGTCTTACTCTAACGTTGCGCAAGCCAACTCATCTCCGTATCAGATGTTTGTTTGTGTCCGTGGGAAGCAAAGGATTTGTTTTTTTGTTGGCAGCCTAGTTTTCAATCTGTTTAGACAAACCCAAATGCTCAAAGAGCAGGGTGAACGGCAAACTGCGGGACTTCATTCAGGGTGCTGCAAACGCACAAGTACATCAATGACAATGGCCTACAGCAACCTGTGTTTGTGTCATAAACTTGGCCATGCTCAAAGCTCAAAACACTATGCCTGAAGAACCCGAAAAGCTGAGGCAGTCTGAACTTGTGCACTATGGATAAGGGTGCTGACCAGCATACGGCAGGCGTGAAAATATGTGTGGACACATAAGATAGATTTATACATAATATCTAATGCAATGTTTTTTTTGGTACTGTATATACATACAATATATAATAAGATATGTATGTATACATATATATATATATACTATACTGATCTATACTGCAGGTATACATATCTCCTCACACAAGTATCGGGGAACCAGTAAATGATGGCATGCAATTTGTGGGGGTAGACTTGCACATTGTGTAGAATAAAGGGTTCGAGTGGTCGCAAATAAAAACCCAACATCCACACATCCAAACATCTTGAAGCGACAATTCCCACATGCTCCATGTATGGTATTCTATGGTATTTTTCTTAAATCTTCATAACTGTCATAACTTTTCCTAAAACATGGCTCTGTCCAAAAAGAGGCTACGCAAATGGTTACACTGATGACACACTTTTCCCCATCAACCCTACAGTTTTTTTCCGATATCCAAAGCAAAATCACCAAACTCCGGACAGGTCCATTTCCACTATTCATAGAGATTTAGCTGGTTGGATCCCTCACTTGGATACGAGGACCAAAATACAGCAAGAAAACACTGGGTGTTTTACCATACCTGGTCCCTCACTTGCTAATTGTTTATTGGTAAAACTGGGTAACACCTCGATTTTTGGTGCTTGGAGGCTATTTTTTGCTACTTCAATCGGACCAGACTCAGCGTTCAGCCTGGATTTCAATCTCCCCGGTCGGCTTCCAAGAGCCTAGGTAGCTTAGGTAGCTGGAACCTTGATGAATACCAAAGGATTCATCTGGGTATTTATGGGGTAGGTACAAGTGGCTGAAAAACCCAGGTATAACAACTAGATAAACACCTTGATGATGATGATGATGATGATGATGAATAGCGTACTGGCTTATCTGGCTATTGGTATACTTGGGTATAAATTCTAATAACATCTATGTAATAAAATACAATAACCATGATAAGCCAGCTATATGGGATAAACCCACTGAATGATCAAGTATCAAGTTCTCTAGTTATTGGCAATTAGTTGTAATAAACACCTTGAACCGTTATCTCACTATGAAAAAACATTGAACCTTGACGAGTGAGCTTGTTCTCAGCAACAAATATAGCCAAATAGGTGATAATTGTGAGGTACGGGTTATTAAGGGTTATGAATCACAAATACAGGGTTACAAATCCAAACTAATAAGGGTTAGGACAACCAATAATTCTGGATGGTGGTTCCCCAGTTCGTTGCCTAAGTTGGTTTGGTTCAGAAGGTTAACTGTTGGGTTCGAACGATAGATGTATCGAACTAGTTAGATGGGGGCACCATCTTGTGCAACCATTGATGGCTTACATGATGGCATGATTAGTTCATTCTATGTCTAAACGATGTACAGTATATAAATTATATAAATCATATAATAAACGTGAACGTGAATGGAATTACCATCACCATGGAAGATCTGGGAAGCATATGGAATACCGTAATACCAACATGATCGAGTCCAAGCAGAATGTTCTCACTTTCTGAACCACGCGACGACGTGGCGGTTCGGGGTGCGTTCAACCACTTTCAACCCTTTTCAACAATATAATGCATATAACTGTATAACTGGTTGGTGGTTTGAACCCCTCTGAAAAATGATGGACTTCGTCAGTTGGGATGATTAAATTCCCAACTGAATGGAAAAATAAACAATGTTCCAAACCACCAGCCAGATATACAATACCCTCTGGTAAATTAACATAGCTATAGAAAATGGCCCAGTTATAGTTGATTTACCTATTAAAGATTGTGATTTCCATAGCTATGTTAGTGTCCCGGAGGACCTCAAACATCATCCAAAAATTGTCATTTTTGCGAGCGAAACCAAGCCAGTGGTAGGGCGTACTCCAATGCTGAAAAACAAACAATCGACCGTGTTCGACGCTCAGAAATTTAAATGCAGGAAAAACACATGATGATACACCCATTCTACTCTGCGCTTGTTCATGTGAAGTTATCATTTGTGTATATGGATTTGTATTTAAAACAAAAACAGGTCTTTAAGGTGTATATGCAGGTCTCCCAAAATATGCCTACTCCCATACCTCCAAATCATGCATATTTCTGGGTGGATTTTCAATGAACAAAAAAACCACCAGCGAGCTTGGGGTAGCACCGTCTGGTTGCAGGCAATTCCCCACGCACATGCCCTGCGGCTCGGCTCACTGAACCACAGCACTGTGGGCCCCCAAGTTCGATAGCGTTCAGTTGGTGAACATAACTCAAATGATAACTACCCATAGGATCCATGGTGCTGGTATATATATGCTAACATGACTGGGGTATATTGATGGGATTCATGTTACCATATATAGCATGCATGGATCCTATGGGCTATGGTTTATGATACGCAAATAACATCTTATAACTATAGTCAATGTGGTTTATAGACCAACTTATAACGGGGGGTCCCACAGGGCCCACATTGTGGCAATCTCCGCCTGTTTTGAATGCACTTCTTTCAGATGTCATGAATCTAAAGATGCAAAACATAATCAACCTTTTGTACATTCCAATCAGAAAAGTCTCGCCCAAACTCACTATTTGGCGATATGTGGCGTTTCATCTTCGCTTTTCAGATCTGCAGATTGTTTTCGCACACACCAGTTTCATATGTTCCTTGGATGGTATTCATTCTATTTCATGTTGAGTTTAGACAAGCAAATGTCTAAGTTGAAATTTCTAGAATGACTAGGGTTTATGGCTTATGCTACGTATATCTAGTCTATATATGTCTATATAGCGATTACTTATAGAGATTACTTCTATAACAACATATATACCCCGTACCTTTTTTGTTTTTTGAATCTTCGAATTACGGACGCTGGCTCTGACCCCCCGACGTTCGAAAAACACCGGAAGAGAAATTGTCAAAGGAAATTATCGTCCCCAGGTAAGATGTAAACTATAGTGACTATAGAACATATACTGTTAAATATTGTTGTAGTTTTTGTTCAGCCAAAATATATTGTTGTTAGCCAACTATATTGTAGTAGAACATATACTGTTAACTATAGAAAATTTTGTTTTTCTCAGCCCAATATATTGTTGTAGTTTCTTCATGTCTGGTAGATGTCCCGAATCTTTTCTCAATCATCAGCAAATTCAGTTTGTTGATCTTGGAGTCGCCTAAGGAACCCAAAAGACATATGAAAAAAATAAAGATAATAACTATTCCCTATACCCTCTGGTAAACTAACATAACTATGGAAAATCACCATTTTTAATAGGTAAATCAACGAACTAAATAGCCAATTTCAATAGCAAACTGTTAAATTAGGTATATATTCCATTAGTGGATTATAATCACATTAAACACCATTAGATCCCATTAAATCCCAATTGAAACCACCAAAACCAGCGATTCGTTGCATATTTCATCTCCCTAGTGGAAAATCACCATCTTTAATAGGTAAATCAACTATAAATAGCAATTTTCAAAAGCTATTTTGGCATAACCAGAGGGTAGATCTCCCTAATTAAGTGGATTCCCCATTATCCATTGGGGAAATTGAACATCTTCAGCAAGTCTAGGGACATCTGCGCTGCCGGGCCTCTGCACTTCGATGGACAGAAAGCTTCCGCCTGGTGCATGGAAAAAAGGCCGCCATGATGAGAAGCCCAAAATATCCCAAGATGAAACCCAAAATGTACTGGATCGCTTCATTTTTGGGGTTCCTTGCGTGTATTCATGGTATTCGGAGAATGGGATGAGTTTTTCTTGGTATTTGATGATTGACAATTCTTTGGTTTGCTGCATCCAAACCAATCTCCACAGTTCGTCGCACCATGGCACAATGGCCACAACTAGCTGAAACCGGTCCATGTCTTGAAGCAAAGCATGATGTAGAACCAAACAGAACCTGGTTGGTGGTTTTAACATGTTTTAACCATCTTGAAAAATATGAAAGGCAATGGGAAGGATTATCCCATACCCATATGCTCCATGTATGGTATATCTACCTACATTTGCCCTAAAAATCACCCAAATGTAGGTAAATATACCATACATGGAGCATATGGGATATATTATTAAAAATTTAAAAAATTGTCCAAACCACCAACCAGGAACGCAACAAGATGTACATTGGACATTGGCTACCCCATTCCATCTCATGGTTCATCATTTGACTCACTGCAATGGCTACGTGATGGGTATCCCCAAGTTTCAAACAAATCCTTCATCACTGGTTACATGCCCAGTAAATCCCAATAAAGATTATATGCCACTGCAACCCTTACAAGGTGGCGCCCCCCATTTCGAAGTTGGTTTCTAAACCCCATCATATCTAAAATAAAGCCCAACAGTTATTCTAATATGAACTAAACCAACTTAGCTAGCTGGAAATAATTTATTATTGGCTGGAAATCCTCTTATTGTTAGTAAATTTCCCAAATATTTCTTTGTTTCCTATGGTTGTTCCCCACCTATGGGGAACCCGACCTTAGCCAACTATGGGGTACCACCAAGTGACATAAACCACCTCGGCTAACATTTTTTGGTGGTTATCCTCTGGTCATTTAACATAGTTGTGGAAATTTGTCCATCTATAGATCATCAGAAAACATATGAGTTGCCTATAAAAAATGGAGATTGTCCACCTCGCTATCTTAAAATACCCAGAGAGTAAATCAATTGTGTTATTCCGTTATTATCCCTGCATTATCCCTGCATTATCCCTATTATCAGGAACTCTTCTTCCCATCCCATCTCAGTGTTTGAGAGGGTATTCAGGGCCTATCGTGTTGCCATCAATGAGGACAAACAAACTGACCAAAATTCAGATTGCTGCAGGTTATCGACCGTAGAATTTTGCTGTAGATGTTACAGATGTTGATATATTAATTAATCTCACCAGCTAACAAGTATCTGAAATGTCCCATATGTATCATCCTTTATCCCAAGCTTAATCACCATGTTAACTTGGTTAAGTCATATTTTTCGGGTTTAAAACACCATTCTGGTGTGATAAATCACAAATTTAGCTGCTTAAATCACATTGTTTGCTAGATAAATCACCATTTTAGCTAGTCAAATCCAATGTTTTTACTTATTTGTCCTATTTTTTTCAGCCGATTCAAGAAAGATTGCAAACTTGACAGCCAACGGTTGTGCCCTGGAAATATAACGCAAGGCTCATCGACAGCCTTCCAAGAACTACACAGTAACTATATACACTACATATAGTAACTATATATATATATGGTAACCGACAGAATTATGGGAAAAAAAACCGTTCAACTTAGACAGGCGGCGCCTGCGTCCGATTTTTCCACAATTGGATTTTTCCCCATAAGGGTTCAAAATATCCCGGAAGTGATCCGAACCTTCTTTTTCCATAATTCTTGGAGGTGGCCATTATTTCCATAATTGATTTTTCCTGTGAAATCAGGGGGCAAGGGCAGATTGACCGGTTTTTCCATAATTATTTTTTCCATAATTAATGTTTGGGGCTCCACCTGTTGGACATGTCATGGATCCACAATTCAAACCCGTTTTTTTGGGGGGTTATGGAAGCGAATGGTGAAATGGGGTTTACATGTACATACCCGTATACATGATATTATGTATATCAATGGCAGGCTTTAGGGGCATATACCAGATCTTTAGACACATATTTTCTATAATTCAATATTCCCCCTTAAAATGCATTCAAATTGCGAAAATCACATGATATTATGTATATCAATGGAAGACTTAGGGGCATATACCAGATCTTTAGACACATATTTTCTATAATTCAATATTCCCCCTTAAAATGCATTCAAATTGCGAATCGATGGACATACAGTCACCGACAGAATTATGGAAAAAAACAATTATGGAAACAATATAATTATGGAAAAAAAAAGGTTCTAATACTTTTCTAATACTTTTCTATCATAGACAGGCGGCGCCTGTAAATTGAAACGTTTAGTTTTTTTTCCAGAAAATTCTGTCGGGTGCTGGTGATCTTTGTGGCAAGGCGGTGATCAACGGAGGCCACCATTGGTGCTTGCGTGGACGGCTTCACTGGGATCTTGTCTTTGATAACGGGATCTGGTCTGATTGGTTCCCCATTTATAGAATGTATAATCCCATAGAAATAACCAGTTCTGACTTTAACTAATCCCCATTTATAGAATGTATGATGACTGAAGATCTTTTCACTGATTGGTTTTCACTGAAATTGCTTTCATGGCAATAGTGATAACAACAAATGTTGCTCCAAATTTGTCCAAAATTTGGCCCAGCGGTCTGGCAGAGAATTGCTTCATACCTTGATTTTCAGCTCAATCAGCACCTTCATAGTGAGGATGAGTATCTGGGACTGTTTGGAGCACTTCAATAAGCCGGTTCCTGATATAATGTCAACCCCGGATTAATAAACCATGGTTTATTAATTGTGGGGGTACCTCCAAATAGTCACAATATGATATCCCCCAATTAAACAGCCTAGGGGTTTATTAATCCAGGGTTGACATTAGATGATGTCAGTGTCTACCATCGCGATCCGGTTCCCGAGCTGCTGCCTGAACTCATTCATGACAGGAAGCTCACGCACGGATTGACGGATGCCCGCGCACGGCTGCCACTTGCTACGCCGCTGCCCGAAGGGTCCGAGAAAATGGAGCTGGTTCAGCCACTCCGAAAGCTATCATTGTCTCAAAACGATCGCAGCATTTGCAAATACAACCATGTAGGGCTGAAACCCACATTTTTCCCAGCAACTATGTACGTTTTCCATTGTTTTCCTGCATTTCCCAGCAATTCTCCCTGCCTTGCCGAGGGGAGGCTGGTGAAGGCTCCTGAAAGGATGGAGCCCCTGTTCGAGAGCGTTCAGCTGAGATATAAGTGGCTGAATTCCATGGTTTATAGTAGATATTATAGCTATAGTATTCATGGGGTTTATAAACCAACGTTCACATCACTGGGGGGGCGCATCCTGTAGAAGCCCTGTTTTTTCGTGAATTTCCACGTAGGACCATAGAATTGGGGCCTTCAATGTTAGGATGGGATTGTGATGGCCTACAAATCTGCAAAAACCATGGCCTGGGTTCCTGGGCGTGGAAATGATGGATGTGGTCCTAATTCATAACATGCTGCTTGGTGGTTTCAACCCCTCTGAATAATATGAAAGTCAGTTGGGATAATGATTCCCAATATATGGAAAAATAATCCATTCATGTTCCAAACCACCAATCAACATGTTATTTTTTGTGAAATTTGCAAGCACTAGCGAGCCTCCGAGCCTCCGAGATCTTCCACCGATTCACGTGGCCAATCTTGGATACCCAGCGTTTTTTTTTTGAAGCTCATAGTCATAGTGAATTGGTGGGTAAACTATGTTTTTTTTGTTTTAAACTTGTCTTGGATTCATAGTCAATTTTCCGATTTACAAGTTGTGGACACATGTTTATTCATTTTCAGTATGCCACATTATCAGTATGCCACATTATCAGTATGCCTTAAACCTTTGGATGCATACTATACCCCAAAGATTTGAATGTTCCAATCTTATATTAATTATTTTCAGTAGACCCCAAAGATATGGCCCTATAAACCACTTGTAAATGGGATAAAGCAACTCCTGCGCCCAAGGTTGTGTATATATATATATCAGTTAATATAGTTAAATGAGGCTATAAACCAATTATAAACTATAACTGTTTAAGGGCTATAATCAATGGCCATTTCAGGTTCTTAAACTAGAGGTACTATAGCATTTTTTTTTAAACATAAATATATATATATATATTTTGAAGCTATATCCTGATGTTTCGCCCTTACATAGACCAAACATTAATATGGTAAGTAGCTCCAATACATCAGCTCCACCCAAGCCACCTGAGGCGTAAAGAAAGAACGCTGCGGAGATCGGCAAGAGGCAACTCACCTGATTGAGAACATGCGACTGGCCGGGAGACGCGGATATCATATGAAAATTAATGATTAGGGACATCTGACATCTGAAGATAAGGGAAATAATACTTCAAGATAAGAACAAGCTGGTGACCCCCGGTTAGAAGTTGGTTTTGAAATCCCAGAAACTAGTTCGAGATATCCTTATTAGCCAACTCATAACCCAACTTTGCTAAGAAGGGGCACATCCTTGTGTAGATACAGTATTAGTGTTTTTCCTCTTTCTGGTTGGTATTTGAGCCAGCTTGGCCCCAACATCTTGTTCACTCCAGGGAATCCAGTTGCTTGGTTCCTTTTATACACCGCAACTGTGAACAGTTCACAATATGTCATGAATCCAACAGTAGAGCGATGAGAGTTTCAAGCAACTTGTTGCGATGAGAAAAGTCAAGTCATGGTTTCACAGTCCAACATTTATCGATTTGGATGGTTTGCGATGTGATGACAAGGCCTCACATGGCCTTTCATAAACATGCTATATCGTGTTTTAGCATATGTGGACCCGGAACCCTAGTTCCAACCAGAAATAACCATGATTGTTTCTCTTTGGTTGTGAAGACTCATGAAGAATCCCTACACAAATGTTTGTTTGCGAAACCTAGCACATTTGTTTATGGTTGTTTGGGGGATTCACATCATTTCACATCTAAATGTATCTAAGTTAGATAATCTAACTGTAGACATGATTCTAATGTTTCTCTATTATAAATTCTGATCACATAGAGGAACGTATCCTCATCGCTCACATGTTCTACCTCTGGTAATCAAACATGGCAATTGAAAATGCCATAAAACCCCGTATAAATGAAGGCTTTAATGGGAAAATCGTCTATAAATGATAGGTTTTCCATTGCCATGTTTGATTGCCGGAGAGTAAATCTAATTTTGTCATTTCTGGTTTAATTACTCCTCAAAACACATCCATTCTTTTGTGTTTTCTCTATATTTGGAGTCCCTAAACAATGCGATTCCATAGTAAACAAAAATATGTGGATTTCCACGACGGTCTAAAAAATCTAAAAAAACAAAAAGCTGGTGTTGGGTCCCCTTCGCTGTGTTTCTCTGACAAAGGGGTACCCAAACTCCAATAGTATATCATAAACTGAACTATCACAAAATCCATATTCCAACTACTTGGTGGCTCATCCCACTTAGTAAGTGGGTTATAACCACAGTTATAAATGGGATAAGTAGGGTTAATCCACTTATAATTGGGGTTATAACTCACTTACTAAGTGGGATGAGCCACCAACTATAGTTTATGGTGCATCACATTTTTGAACGTGACACCATAAACACCAATAAACACCATAGCATTTTTTCTGAACTTGATACCATAAACCATAGTTAGAAGTTACAATCACCATCAACCCAACTTAACCAATACATACTTCAACCAACTTAGCTATCGAGTTGGGGCATCACCAGCTGCCATGTTGGCTCTCGTCCCCAGGGTCCCCAAACACTTCGGCCGCGCATTTGCACTGCGAAGCCGCCGCCCTTCACGAGGGAATAGCTGTTTTTGCTGAACCCAATGGTGGCGAAATAGTTTGAAAATGTTTGAAACCTGGAAAATATGGGGCAATATGGGGCAAACTGAACATGGTTGGGATTTGACTCAATATGTTTAAGGGACTTCCTATCAATCTATCAATACTGCTTTATGAACAAGTAGGAAATATGAAATATGATGATAAACCAATGGAATTCGGGGTATACATGCGTATACAAAACTCATGTAGATTCTGTATGTTGCATGTCCAAAATCACAATGCTGCCCTCCATCTTGCAGAGATTTCATTTCGACATGCTCTGTCACTCGAGGGGTTCTCCAAATCTAAAGATAAAAAAAGGGTCCGTAATTCCATAGTAGGATGTGGAAGCCGCAACTTCAGGTACAGTTATAGCCTTTAACACGTATAACTGACTTATGATATATAACCTTAGCTATGGGACTATGTAATATAATCATATATATATAACTATCCCATTTATACGGGCCACAAATGCCATAACTGTACCTACTTTGGATCGATATTTTGGGAAAACCACACAATCTTGGCCTTTGTTGGTACCATCTCACCGTCCCCCAAATATTTTGTACCATATGGACCCCAACACTAGAACAGATGAGGAACATCATAAATAAGTTCCATAATATACATTCCATCAGGGTTTTGTTTGGATGGTGATAGGGGGAAGGGATCCTGAAAAACATCATGGTGTACCCGATGGGATCTGCTCTTGAGTAGTGCCTCGTACTACCAACAGGATGACCCAAAGAGCAAGTCACTCACGTGCGAAGAACAAATCGTGGGACAGTGACCGTGAGAGAAAATTTATAAAATCGGCTCAGTTGAAAGATGGCGTTTTGCCTGATACCCGAAATCTTGAACTGACCCCTTAGCTCAAATTTGGCTGACCCCTTAGCTCGCCGAGCCTGCGGGATCAAAAACTGGCACCCTACGCTTAAGCTGTGCCGAAATTTGAACCAATAGGCCCGGGTACCCGCAAATCCAATGGAATATGATCAATACTCCCATTTTTTAATGGTCATTTAGAGGGTACCCTCTGGTAAACATACAAAAAACTATGGAAAATCATCGTTTTTAATGGGAAAATCTACTATAAATAGCAATTTTCAATAGCTATGTTAAATTACCAGAGGGTATACCCCATTTGTCAAACAAACTCATTTGTAAGACCCACATTCGTCAAGTCCTTTGTAAGGTTTTTTGCTAATCACATCTTACCCATAGGTGCAACATCAAGAGCCATGCTAAGCCAATTGTGCCCAGGTGCGGGTCGTGTTTCAAGGTCGATGATGTTGCCATTGGCCAATTTCAAATGTATCATACCGAAGGAAACCGATTACCCTTTGGTAATCAAACGTGGCAATGGAAAATCCCTTATAAATGGAGAACCCCATGGGAAATCAACTATCATTTCCATTGCCACGTTTGATTATCGGAGAGTAACACTTTCACTGACTCCCCAACATGTTTTTTTCGAACACCCAAGTGGTCAACCTGTCACACCAGATTTCTACCCGTCCAGGTTTGAGCCGTCCATGTTCACTGGTGAAATCCCCATTTGTTGTCAATATTGCCACTCTGGTTGGTCAACTCTTCAATTGTTTGCAGAAGATGTTGTGTTCAGCCCAATTTCTTGCCGTTTTTTTTTTCGAATTTCCACAACCAAAGCCACGGTGCTACTTCCCCTGTCGTCCCTCAGCCACGCACCCCACATTTTAGGCTTTCACAAGAGCCACTTAAGTTGGCCCTGAATTGCGAGAGCGCCTAAAGGATGGACATCTAGGTGCACGTCGGAGTTTTCTGGATTTGGTCGGAGACTAACCTTGGTTTGTCTGAAACTACGCTACAGTACCGAATGCAATGGTTTGTTATCATCGTCCCCACTAAAGTGCCTATATAAAACACAGCGCAGATACCTATTATACATATTTAGTATCTGTTGGTGATGCAATATATTGCGGTTTCTACTATAATTATCAGAGAACCCCTCTGGTCCAATTGAGCAATTGTGATATGGATTGATATGGGTCAATTGTTTGTTTGCTGTCATGAGTCATGTGAGATTCGATCAATATGAGCAATTGTTCAATTCCTTCAAACTTAGAACTATGTCCAAATGGAACAGAAACTTCCATTTTAAGGGTCCCTGACTGGGCAATTGATTTCCAATGTTGATTTCATGGTTATCCCCCGTGAAGACCTTCCAAGAAGGGGATATTTGTCACTAGTTTCTTCAATAAATGGTTGTTTGTGAGGGTCTCCTAACAGGCAGTGTCCCCCTGTTATTTATAAACCCATCGACGTAAAAAAATATGTGCCAGAAACTCTAATCAAGTATCAAACTTAGTAATTTCTAGCTATATTAGTAACCATAACATGATCTATACAAACCAACTTAGCAGAACTTGGCAAACTGGTTCCTCCTTGACGGCTCATCCCCGAAACATCAGCGGCATCGCGGCAGCTACTCACATGGGTTTCTGCTGCGGCATTCGCTTCACCTGAGACCATGGGAGGTCACAAGGCCCTGTCTCCTCTGGCCACAGTTAAATAAACCTTAACATGTATAACTGGATATACCATGATATAACTGGTTTATAATGATATATAACCATGGCAACAAATTATTTTTGTTAGAATCCCATTTATACTTGTCAAGGGCCGTAACTCTAGCCTTCGCCAGTTAAAAAGGGGATATACTCCACGACAAAATCAACCTTTTAGCTAACTCCATTGTCTATCTATCTATCTATCTATCTATCTACCTACCTACCTATCTGTCTATCTCTCTGTCTCTCTATCTATCTATCTATCTATCTATCTATGAATATATATATATAATTAAGCGTTGCTCTTACATAATATGCCCTATTTTCCAAATACTTTTTCAAGAAGAACGCACTTAAGCTCTGAAATCATACCCCAACTACGACTGAGGAGAAGCTACGGCTGGATCCAAGGGGTAATGATTTACTGAACCGAAAAATAGATATTAAGAACCCATGCTTATCCCTGTATATCAATCACCATATCCTGTTAAAAATGTAATATGTTATTTAATATATAGAAAAAAAACTACAGTAGATTAAAGCCATATAAAACTAGATTGAACCAAAAAAAACTAGATTCATTTACCCCTCATGAACTATGTTATTTAATGATAGTATTTCACCATAGTATTAGATTAAATGCCCTTGTAATAAACAGTGTTATTTAATTCAAATTCATAAGAACATTAAAGATTTGACTAAATTCATGATATATAATCCCAATTATAGGCTAACCCTATCAATAATTATATTGGATAGGATTTAAAATATGATTAGCAGCTAAAAGGATATCTAGAATCCGTGAGAAGATTCATAGACACAGTGAAACCACTGTTTAAGAACCTACTACAATAAGAACTTCAGGGGCTGGATTGCTGGATTCAACCCTTTCTGCCAATTGTGCCCAGGTGCGGGTCGTGGTTCAAGGTCGATGATGTTGCCAATGGCCAATTTCAAGTGTATCATACCGAAGGAAACCGATTACCCTTTGGTAATCAAACGTGGCAATGGAAAATCCCTTATAAATGGAGAACCCCATGGGAAATCAACTATCATTTCCATTGCCACGTTTGATTATCGGAGAGTAACACTTTCACTGACTCCCCAACATGTTTTTTTCGAACACCCAAGTGGTCAACCTGTCACACCAGATTTCTACCCGTCCAGGTTTGAGCCGTCCATGTTCACTGGTGAAATCCCCATTTGTTGTCAATATTGCCACTCTGGTTGGTCAACTCTTCAATTGTTTGCAGAAGATGTTGTGTTCAGCCCAATTTCTTGCCGTTTTTTTTTCGAATTTCCACAACCAAAGCCACGGTGCTACTTCCCCTGTCGTCCCTCAGCCACGCACCCCACATTTTAGGCTTTCACAAGAGCCACTTAAGTTGGCCCTGAATTGTGAGAGCGCCTAAAGGATGGACATCTAGGGGCACGTCGGAGTTTTCTGGATTTGGTCGGAGACTAACCTTGGTTTGTCTGAAACTACGCTACAGTACCGAATTCAATGGTTTGTTATCATCGTCCCCACTAAAGTGCCTATATAAAACACAGCGCAGATACCTATTATACATATTTAGTATCTGTTGGTGATGCAATATATTGCGGTTTCTACTATATCAGAGAACCCCTCTGGTCCAATTGAGCAATTGTGATATGGATTGATATGGGTCAATTGTTTGTTTGCTGTCATGAGTCATGTGAGATTCGATCAATATGAACAATTGTTCAATTCCTTCAAACTTAGAACTATGTCCAAATGGAACAGAAACTTCCATTTTAAGGGTCCCTGACTGGGCAATTGATTTCCAATGTTGATTTCATGGTTATCCCCCGTGAAGACCTTGCAAGAAGGGGGTATTTGTCACTAGTTTCTTCAATAAATGGTTGTTTGTGAGGGTCTCCTAACAGGCAGTGTCCCCCTGTTATTTATAAACCCATCGACGTAAAAAAAATATGTGCCAGAAACTCTAATCAAGTATCAAACTTAGTAATTTCTAGCTATATTAGTAACCATAACATGATTTATACAAACCAACTTAGCAGAACTTGGCAAACTGGTTCCTCCTTGACGGCTCATCCCCGAAACATCAGCGGCATCGCGGCAGCTACTCACATGGGTTTCTGCTGCGGCATTCGCTTCACCTGAGACCATGGGAGGTCACAAGGCCCTGTCTCCTCTGGCCACAGTTAAATAAAACTTAACATGTATAACTGGATATACCATGATATAACTGGTTTATAATGATATATAACCATGGCAACAAATTATTTTTGTTAGAATCCCATTTATACTTGTCAAGGGCCGTAACTCTAGCCTTCGCCAGTTAAAAAGGGGATATACTCCACGACAAAATCAACCTTTTAGCTAACTCCATTGTCTATCTATCTATCTATCTATCTACCTACCTATCTGTCT